CTAGTTCCACTGGAACCGGAGTTATGAATTTCCGGTCAAACACACAACTACACACCCACACACACACAGACAAACCAACAGACACACTTAGCGCGTTATATATAGGATATTTGTCATAGAAATATTCGTCAATGAACAATTACTTCTAATTGTTTGCACCCGCATTCTCCATGTTCCCATTGTTCGCCTTCGTTGGCCACCACTACTTATTTCGTTGCAATACCACTGTTTGCAAAGCAGATGTGATGTAGTGACAAGTGGCGCACTATCACGCATGCATAGTTTGGGATCGGATCCCCGATCGATGTTCGCCCAAGCCAACCAAGCCTTCCATCCATCCAGGGTCGGTCACTTGGTACCACGCTCCTTTGGGAGGATGAAAACAGTGAGTGATTCGATTATTGGCTGGTCACCGCAAATCACTGTATGAACCACATAAGCATTCAAACGCCAAAACGATTCTGAATGGATGTCGAATGCGAGGCGCATTCGAAGAACGTGACTCATTGAGGCCAACGACTTCATTCTCAGTCTTCCCATAGTTTACACCACTCTGTTTCGTTCCAGTGAACACTTCAAAGAGGTAAGCCAACCAGACACCCATAACAACGCCTACCAAGGTAACTGGTCGTAATATCTACTGAAGAAGAAATGGAAGGTCCTTTGAAAATGGCAGATGCCATTTGCCGCCGCATCATGCAAAACTCAAGTTCTTCCCAATTGAAGAGAAAACTGAAAATAAAAAAAATGAATGAGTACGGCACAACACAGACTTGTATTCACTATAGAACTACAGTCCTGGTTCAGTGCTTTGACGAAATTGGATGATGTTCAGGTACCGTATCGGTGTACAAACGATTCGCAATGATCATTCATGGTTTCACCTCTATCGACGACGAGCCACAGGGACAGGATATTGGGATTTTTACACAAATATTCCTGAACGAAACTGCATAGGGTACTTTTCAATATTAGCCAGAACAGCAGACGGTCAATTTGATCCTTCAAATTCGTTTCATTCAGACTGGGGTCTTTAGTTTTGAAACTTTTTGAGCTTTAACAAGTCATATTGCATCATACTGCTACTCTCGGGATATTCTAACCATTTCGTTCTGAAGCGATATTTTCTATCAGACTATTATGAATGTTCTTTTACCTAAGCAATTACTTAGGGGATTTGGACTTCACGCAGGGAAAAATATGGCAGCGACGGTGACCGTAAAGGATCCCAACTGCTTTTCGAAGCTCGCTGATCAGGTACGAGACCGTTTAACTGTGAAGAGCTAGGACGCCCCTCTTCTTGCTTCTCTTTCTTTTGCTTTTTAGCTACCTTAATGATGGACCTTACGGAGTTATGAAGTTCTAGATCGAAAAGAAATCGACAATCGAGAAGTTCGACGTTCATCAATGCCGAAACTGCATATTTCACAGTTGCTGGCTTGGTACTCGGATATTGCCTGCAGCTCGGCAATACACCACCAATCTAAGAAGTTACTAAATCTTTCTTCTTTCCAAGCCATTGATTCTCTGAAGAAGACAACAATCGTTCTTTCTTTTGATGATAGTGACTATCGTTTGTACACAATAAAGACTGCTTCACATGGAATGTCACCCAGATTTCTTGCTGTCTTTTTCCTACAATCCTGATCTTCACCCCTTAAAACAACAACTAGTGAATCTGACACTATGCTAGCGAGTTGGTCAAGGATAGGGGTTGATTTGAGGTGTTGAAGACATTGGTCAACCCCGTGCATCATGCCACGAATCTGTTTTGATTTAATCTTGAAAGAATTCGTGGCATGAGGCACCACTCACGAGCTAGTTAAATTACTTCAACGTTGAAGAGCACTTTGCCCTTATAGCACGAGTACGGATTCTGGTCCCGTTCGAAACCAAAGTTTGGTCCATATCCGCCAACTTGGTGAGCCACGCAACAAAACTTCTTCCTCTACTCCCCACATAGTTCATCCATCGGCTTTGAACATCACTTACGATTAGGGTAGGAGGATGAATCCTTGAAATCGTCTCAAAACATAACATCAGTAGGAAGCCTTTTCGAATTGCTTCTGCACTTATGTATTTCAACGAAATGCATAGAATCAACATGTGGCCGTTAGGTTGCTCTGAACTGTGTGTCGTTTTCGACGCCTCTTTAATATCACCGAACTTGTTTCTTGCATTACAAATATACCAAATAATGCCAAAATAATGACCAGTACATGTATCAGAGCTAGAATTGGGAATGATACTGCCAACTGATGAAATTAAGCTTGGCTCACAAAAACTATCAAAGCGCTTTCTTTTAATAAACGATCACCTCAACCGGGATAGGAGAACACCGGAAACGATCACCTCAACCGGGATAGGAGAACACCGGAAAAAGAAGAAAAAGTGGCGACTATGCACTGCATGGTTGCCTACAACAACACCCTGGTCTTTTTGGCCCATATGGCGCTTCACATACTCCACTAAAGGTAAGAAGGAAAAAGAGAAGCGGATATGTCGTAAAAAGCAGCGTTCTATGTAAATCACCTCAAGAAATAGAATAATCAACTACTGCTCAGCTTTCTCACAATGGAGAATGACAAGTACAGAGTGGGGGCCTATTGCGGCCGAACACCTCCCCGCATTGTGACTAGTTCCTCGGAACTCGTGGGATGGATAGCCACGCACGCGTCAAACTGCGCTTTCGTAGCACCCATGTTCACCGCTACAGCGAATCCTTGGAGCATCTCATCAGCGCCACCTCCCAGCACGTGGACGCCAACAACCTGAAATCGGAAATCGGTACCGGATCGCTGGCAATGCTATATCAAATTGGTTAATTTTGATCTGAATTTGCTTAATATTTAAAATATATCTGGGAATGAGCAAAAAACGCGACGGGGGAAGTAGCCAACTATTCACGCCATCTCCAAAAAACAAAAAGGAGTAGATACCGCTCTGCTGACGTACATGTGGCTCGACTTCTAGCCTAGCATTGATCCGTCAATTCTTGCCCAGTCGCACTCTAATTTGTTTCCAACCTTGGCGAGATTTTATCAATACTGTTTGTTTCAATCGGCTCAAGTTTCAGGCAGTTCTCCAAGGCATAGGCAGCTCCCACAAAATCGATTGACTTTATGATAGAAGCCATCAATAACTCTATTCAATTCTTTTTCATTGCGTAAAAGCAAGACATCTGATGATGATTGCTACTGATAAAGCTATTACCTAAAACTAAAGATGTACCTTCTCTTCAGGACCCGCACAAACAAGCTTCATTACGCATGGCTCCTTATGCTTCGTCACGGCATGATACATTGGATTGAATTTCGACTTATATAACATGACTTGATCTTTTCCATATTTTTCAACCGCTTCGGCTGGAAATATTTTGGTTAGAAACAGAGAATGCTATGGAAGAGCAAGATACCAACCTTCAGTGAGCCCAACAGTACCAACTAGTGGATGGCTGAAGACAACGGTAGCGATATTCTCATAAGGGAGGTAGTTCGATGACTCGTTATTGAATAAGCGATGAGAAAGGCGGCGGCCAGCAGCTATGGCTACTAGAAAGATTACATTTTTTAAATAAAAATATGTGCTTAATGTTCAATCCTGATTTGCCGTACAGGTTTGTTATGGCTGAACCGCTTTATTGGTATTGGTATTGGTTTCGACTGAATCGTCGTCTTTAGGACTTGCAAATAGTTCGAACCTCCTGAACTTAGCCGACCAAGCGCCCGAACGCGCTAGGCTACTTGCAACGACTCCCGGAAACTTTAACATGGAAAAGTTCCCAGCAAAAAACCAACCTTCTGCGGTTCCACCGGTCAGTCTATTATCATCATCAATGATGTCTCACTGATCCCTAATTGTTCACATAGAGTGGGACTAATGCTGGTGGAACCGCAGAAGGTTGTTTTTTTTTGCTAGGAACTTTTCCATGTTCAAGTTTCCGGGAGTCGTTGCAAGTAGCCTAGCGCGTTTCGGCGCTTGATCGGGTAAGTCACAGATCAGGAGCTTCGAACTATTTACAAGTCCTGGAGACGACGATTCAGTCGAAAAGTTGATCAATAAAGCGGTTCAGCCATAACAAACCTGTACGGCAAGGCAGTATTAAACATTATGTAAAATGCCCAGGTTTCAAGAAGACTAGAACAGAAGAACATGGAAGTAAATATGTTATTAAATACTTGAACGCAATATTTAAGAAGAGTCAACAGACCACAACTTCAAAGTGGTTTCGAGAATTTTCACGGAAAAACTGCAATGCGAGTACCTGGAGTAAGGAGAAACTTTCCGGCGGCATCTCCAACGCACATAATGGATGGATTGGTGGTGTTTTGGAATTTGTCAACAATTATATGACCTTTCGAGTCAGTTTTTACACCGACCTAAAGAATACTTTTAATTTGGTGCTATTTCGAATAACAAAAGCATTAAGCGCTACCTTATGAAGATTCAATTTCTTAGTGCACGGGGTTCTTCCAATGGCCCATATTAATGTTTCCACTTCGTCAATAACACCGGTATTCGTATGAATGGTCAGAAGCCCATCAGAGCGTTTCTCAACGCTTTTTACCTGAATAATATAAAAATAATCTGTGAAAGTAAATTATAACATGCTTGAGAATGAGAAAAACGAGAAGTTTCTGGAAAAATACAAAATAATTCAGGCGAAGCCTCACCTACTCATGAGCTTAAACATAATTGTAGATAGGATAACTCAAAGGTGTGGAAGAGTGGGTGCAATGAGGACCTAAGCCTAGAGCCAGGGCGTTCTTATGTGAGCTACAAGTTCATCTGTATCATTCCTTGATACTCTCTACGTACTCAGCCTTCACGTTTCTGTCATATCACTTGTCCCATTTGATAATAATAATGCTTCACCAACTTAGTTAAGTGACACCATCGAATGGTTTTCTGAATTAATCTAACATTTTTCAGCAACTTTCTGTACTTCAGTCCATCATATGCCCAGCAGCTACCAGCCTCTCTGGCACCAATCGTTTTACATCTTATTCACAAACTCAATAGAGCAACCAAGGCGTAAGTCAGGGTGTTCGAAAAAATGAGGGTCAAAAATTAGTGGTCAGCGTATAATTTATGAACTCACAACCAAAAAACGTTTAAAGATGGAAGAAAATAAAATACATAATACAGCTCGGTGAATCCTTACCTGAGTATTTTTATGAATATTTACAGGGCCATTATCCATTGCTTCTGTTAAAGAGGTGCTGAGAGTTTCATCAAATGTGCGCAGTACCTAAAATACTAAGCATTTAGTTTATAATTCCATTGCCTCTGTCTCGTAGAAAAATATTTCACTCATATACCTTATCATATCTGATAAGAAGATGAGTATCCGATCCTAAATTAGCCAGAACTCCAGCAAGCTCTACAGCTATGTAACCAGCTCCGACCACTACAGTTTTTCTGTAAATAGTTCACAAATTCAGTTATGCCAACTAAAAACATCAAAAAAAGTAAATCAAACAGATTATCAAATCAAACATTAAACAAGTAAGAAAAGAATTAAGCTGTAAGTCCTAAAAACACCACTGATGGAAACCCACTTCGGAAGCTTGGTCAGCTCAAAAAATCCATCACTGTCTGTGCCAAACTCGGCACCGGGAATATTCGGAATAGTCGGATAGCCTGCAGATAAAAAACGGGAAATATCATGGAGTATTACAACGAGTTTGAGTCAAAATTTTCTTAGAGATCAATTCGGCCTCCTCCAAACAGATGGAGCTGGATAAGCTATTACCTCCTACTGCGATAAGAGTGAACTTTCCCTTGTACTTTTGGCCATTAACTTCTATGCTTCCGTCATCGGTGAACGTTCCGAAACCTCGAATAAGCTCCACCTTAGACTGAAACAACGATCATCACTTCCTAACCAATTCAAGGTAGGAGTGGACTTCTTTAAAAAATAAAGGATCGATTAGATAAAAAGTAATAATTAGAATAAAAAAAAACGCCTTACTCCATTCAAATTATTTTCGTAAATACCGTTAAGACGCCGAATATAAGCGTCACGCGACTCCTTTATAACACTGAAAACAGAAAACTGAGTACCGGCATAAAAGTGATATTGTGATGGGCAAATCAGTGATAACCTCCAATCGAAGTTGTTCAAAGTGACGTCGAACCCATAGTCAGCATGATCACGTAAAAATTCCGCGTGCATAGAGCAATTGTACATCACCTTTTTCGGTACACAACCAACGTTTACCTCAAATTATACGGAGATATTCTTTGAAAGCATGACAGAACAACTCAGAACTTCATAACACTCTTTGATATTCTATAAATCGAAACTCAGAAACAAAAAAAAAGAAACGAAAACCTCTTACACACGTCCCCCCAAGCCGACTACTTTCGATGAGCCCAACTGAGACTCCGAATTCTCGAGCACGACGAGCCGATGCTATTCCCCCAGAACCGCCGCCAATAACGAGGTAGTCGTACTCCTTCACTGCTGCCATTTTTCTGCAATATACGATTCACGATCTTGGGTGGTCTTTAAGTCTATAGGGCATTCACAAGCACTGATCAATTGAAAACTGATCAAAAAGCTTATTTAGCACGAGATTGAAAAATTCCATTTCCAAAAAAAAATCTTTTCCACTCAGCTCATGCTGAACATCAGGTTATCGCTTCACTTTCAAAAAAATTTGACATAGTCGCTGATTCAAATGCCAAAAGACACAGCGATCCTAATTGGGAAAGTGATGCACCCACACTGCTGTGAAGGCGCCCAAAACATTCGGTGGGAAAATGATGAGTCTAGGTAGAAACTTTGACTGGTTAAGTTTCACTACACGACTTTTCATATGAATGTCGTGTATTGGTAGGTACGATTTCCAGAAAATGTGAGTGAAAAAAAAAACTACTGAAAAATGGAATTTTAAAAAACGATAATTTGATGGCTCAAAAAAGGTCAGCAATAAGATGAAAAAGAAGAGTGATGAGCCATAAATTTAAAAAAAAAAGGTAGGATTTCGAAGAATTGTGATTTTATTGATTTTAGCAACCATTTAATGGGTGATGTGGGCAAAAAGACGCGGAGCTCGTCAGCAAAGAACAGAAACGATGACAATGCGTCGGCGAAAACGACCTGTTCTTTGGTCAATAAGCGCACGCTTTGATAGCGAGCGGACAGGACCAGTGTATTGTAATAATCCAAAAGTAGTCGGCAAAGAGGTCATGAGGTCAGACACGGAACCAATCTATTCCTATAACCTATTTTTCTTGCTACTAATTCATCTTCGGGTGGAGGTGGTATAGTGGCAAAGGCGCGCTATCACACACGCACGGTCACGGGTTCGAATCCCGCCGAAGCCAACTGAGCCTTCCTTCCCTCGAGGGTCGGTATATTGGTACCAGATTCGTCTGTGAGGATGAAAGCACTGTCTTGAACACCGGCTAGCTACCGCAACTCGTTGTATAGGCCACATAGAAATTCATTACGCCACTCCTATTCTCGAATGGGTGGACGTATCCTTCAGACGATATTGATTAACTTCCCGAGACTTTTTGCTTTATTCTCTTTAATTCATCTTCATTGCTGTTACCGTGCTGAAGCCGTCAAGCACAGGCCTATTTCATTTCAAGAAAGGCATGAAAAAATAGCTGCTAAGAAAGCGTTAAGGGCATCGAGATAGCCCGTCACCTCTACCACAGACCATTTACTTCCATCCTAACCTTCTTTAACCCTCTCCATGAGCCATCGTAGATACAACACTACTCCGAAAAGACAAAAACAGTTTTTGAATTCTCTAAAGCACCAGCTATCACGCAACTGCCAGCTTCTATAACATAAACCACTGGGCGCTGCTTACGACCTCAGATAACTGCAAAATTTAAGAAGACAAGAATTATTGAACAAAATTATCAGAAGCAAGTGAGTAATGAATTAAAAATGAGCAAATCGAAGAACTGCAGAACGAGCAAATCGACAAGATCAGTGTTTCCATACAGAACGATTCCTGCATCCCTCTGCTTCCGAGGAGTTTGAAAGGGAAGATAGTAGATTCTTTATCGCAATGTCAGTAGGTTTCCCACTCCTCTTCCGTTACGACTCTTCCGTGAGAAACCTAATCAGCGCTTCACAACTTGTCATTATGCACCCACCATGCGTTGAAAAATGTCCTCGCTAATCCTATCCCTGCTTCGTGTGAGTATCCTGGATACTACCGGGCGCATTCATAGTATGTGCAGTACACTGCAGATGCAGATTCTCCCAACTTGTATTTGCCGGCGGGCAGCTTGTACTGTGACGTAACAGTGCACATCCGACAATATCGCGCAACTGAACCTTCAACAATCTCCCTCATCCTACACTCCTTACTCTCCACATTTGGCAAAAACGAAGAGAGTGAGTGTTCGTCGAATGTCCTATGTCCTTATTATTGCCCTTTGTTTCTAATGAAAGGCAGCGTGAGCCAAAAAAAAAATAAGGTAAGTCTCATATCATCGTTGGAGTGTCTTATCCAGAACAGTCACACTGTATACTGGAATACTCCAGTTTACATCACAGTAACGAAAAACCAACCTCACAAAGTTCAGAACCGTACTGCGGCCGGCTTTTGGTAACAGCTTAATGACTACCATACCCCAGAAATGAAGAATTTCTCAAACTTCCGTCATAGAATAATCATATAGGATTGAAAAATGTATAAACGTAGAAGCGTTGTCGAAATTGAAAAGAATGAAGGGAAAAAGCATGCTTCATTACAGCAAGTATCACAGTAATTCAAACAATAACCAGATCGATTAAAGAAAACTGCGCAGAATGTAACTAGATAAATAGATAAAACACCTCCAAGTAACAACGATATATCATGCTATGCATTATTAAACTCAGCAAGGACAACTTTCTATGGGTCAAAACACGTGATTCTCCCATTCGGGGCCGGCCGTAAAGAAGCGTAACAGTAACCGTTTAAAAAACCACAAATCGTCCGATAAGAAGTATGATTCCGAAGATTCCTAACGATACTGCTACTTTGAAAAAAGTGGACCTGAAAACATCAAATAATGTGAACTGTAACAAAAATTCACTGAATTTACAAAACAAGCTAAAGACACAACCTCCTGTTCAGGGCCTTGGCGTCCTCTCTGTACTTCTTACTCATACCGGATAAATCAGAGGCCTTCGCTTCGAGAACTTAAATTCAATCTATTATTCATATGTTTGAAAAATACCAAAGTTGCCAGTTTGATGAAAATGAGCACGAAACGTACTATTTAATGCTTCTCCGCGATGAATTACATCTTCAATATTGCTAACCATAATACGAGCAACATCCTGCAACTCATTCGACACAGCAGACATGGCGTACCTTCAATGGTAAAGAACTCCGTTCAGTGGTTATGAGAGAAATTTCAAGTTTTTTAAAATTCTTGATGAAGAGTGTCGGGACCACTAATTGGCTTCCTTGTCAGTGACTAATAGGAATATGGCATAGCATAAGCTCTGATGGGAAAACTCATTTTTCCCATTAACTCAGCGGAGTAAATAATACATACTGATTTGTAAATAAAACATCAAGTATAAAAAACGCATGCTGATCAATCAAATTAAATAAAGAGAAAAATAATGCACAATATCAAACAGTTACAGTTGAAATTTCACAGAAGAAGAAGAATAGCAAAGAGAAACGAGTATGAAGAGAAAAAAACAATTTACTACTTACCTGTTCCTGTCCACATATTTCTTTTTAGCCTGCTGTATGTACTGGTCTAAAAAAGAAACAATTCTTACAAAAGACACCTTAACCAGGCATAATATATGATATATAGTCAACAGGTTTCCTAGAAACTCAAACGTACCGAATTCAAGAAAGTGGTACGGTCGAGCCACTTGGTCGATCCTCGTAGCATTCTGATTCAGAAATTCTTGTGAAACATCTTCGAGATATGCGAAAGCGAGTTTCCGTGGAAAGGCATGTTGGCACAAACAAAGGCAGCATATGGACTGCTTGATAACATAGCTATAAGACAGAAACAGATCTTTGGTTCGATAGGTGAGAATCTCATGATAATATAAAAAATGATCACCTCACATTTTTTCCTCTTTCCTGGAGTACCCCTTACAACATGCTGTATTAATCCTATCTCTTCCCCCCTCACTGGCATGTTTACTGTACAATGACTTGCAAACAAATAAATTCAGTTTTTATTCTAACTAACTACTATGGGACTAAATGTTGACCACTAGGGGAAGGCTCGATTAAAAGGGAAATGAATTCGAACATTTTGATTCCCTTACATAGAATGAGTTCAAGTTGATACACGTGGTGGTTAATCAGTGCATAAGTCAGTGCTCCATCATCATGGAGGGAGTCCGGCACTAATTAAAGGAGCCCCGGAGGGATGGAAAGCTTGGTTGGCCTGGGCATCGAGCCGGGATTCGATCATAAGGCCGCGCGTATGTGATAGTACGCCACCTTACACTACGCCACCTTCGCCCCAAAACTGCATTTGTGGAGCATAGCTTAACTCTTTTAACGCCACGACAATTATGATTGAGAACCGAATGCGGAGATAATACCAAATCGAGAATGATTAACACCAAAAAAATCATTCCCCATCCTTAACATGATAGTTAACCGGGAGGAGCCGAACGAAAAGGCATGAGTAACCTATCCAGCTACATGATGTATACAAGATATTAACATGACCAGTAAACATGCTTTACGGAAGCACAGCAACCTTATAACCTTGCCCTTATCCGACTTAGTTAATAATTTCTTGAAAAGATAAAGCAGAAGTAACGCAGACTGTTTCACAAAAGAGAGAAATTTCATTTTATCCAAAAGAAAGAAATATAAAATACCAACTCACTGAAACATATAAGGACCACTTTCGATAGACTGCATTTGCGGAGCGTTGTTGAGTTTTTTAAATAGCATTTTCGCCTGATTTGAATACTTGACAAGATTTGTGTCACCCTAAAAAAGCTGACGGTGAGAGATCATTTATGGAAAAGGAGATAGTAACACTGCATAAATTGAATCAGCTCTGCGTGAATTCAGCTTGGTTTAAGTAACTTCCAAAATTTGCGACTTTCCGCTGCAAGGCCGGACTCCAAGCCGCACGCTTTCAGGCATAAATTATATTAAATACAACATAGATTGAGAACTTCCTTTAGGAAGATCCTACTTTGGAAAAAGTCGCTTTCACAGTCACTCTGTTCCAGCGCATTTGCATTTGCATTTTATCGTTACAATAAAAGCACGCTGACCTTACAACCGTGTAAACATGAATAGGCAGTAGTGAGTGAGAAATACTACAAACAAATATATGTGTACGCAGAGAGGGACGTAAACAATAAAATAAACAATATAAAAATGAAAATTCTAAGAAAATTCAAACTCTAAGAATTTCCTTTGATTGTTACGGGAGTGGGGCCGGAAATTAGGGAAAGTGGAGGGAAGAGCCTAATGTCACGCTGTTGGATGCACACGGAGAGGAAGGATGCATGGTCATCTACTCAACTCCATTTAGGCTCAGAGTTCTAAGATGGTTTGTATAGAAATGTACTACACGACATTGTGAGCCAAATTTTAGGCTCTGCATCTTCTTTACAATCTGCTCCGGTTATGATCTTCTAAGGTTTATTACGCGTGCAAAATGGATGGACCAGTTTCACGTTCGAAAAACATATGCTATTAGATATTGCATGCGTTTCCGTTTATACTTGATACTCTTCTACGCAACGTTAACTACACCAACGCAGTGGAATCGTAGAAGCGCCAGCGGATATGTTGAATTGTTTGGCAAAGAATCAAAGAATTCTAAGAAGAATCTGGAGCATGGCCACATAATGAGTACAGCTGTAACAACAGATAGTATTTCTGCAAAAATCAGACAGTTAAGGGAATATTCGATATCTATATCCGTTTGTTCCCAGTGTCGGTATACACGGCAGTAATTCCGTAGTAGGTCAGAAAACTAAAATCCAAGTATAAGGTAAAAGCTACTCACGCCATCACTGCCTTCTATCGAAGTGGCTAAAATCAAACCGTCCTTTACTCTGGCTATTAAGGTGAGCTCCATGAAGAAGATATCTGAAAAGAAATGATAACCAAAGCAAAGTGGTATTAGGCACAAGATAAGACAAAACGGCGTGTCGAGATTGTTTCGTCTTATTTTCACGCTCAGGGAATGAATGAGAGCGATGATGACAAAGCGAAACCGAAAGCAGATGAATGAAACACGTTGCTTAAGAAGCGTGTAAGATTCCACGGAGTTTGTGCAAAATTGCGTGAGACAAACCTTACGAATGCACAAACGTAGCTGCTATCGGACGTGTACTCCGAGGGGACGGTAGGAACGTGCGTTCGAGGACGCGCGCGGCAAGTTGCGCGGCGAAGGTCGTGACGATTTGTACGACTGCGCCGCCAGTTTTCGGGGTACAAACTCTGAGTAGTTTATTAGGGTCAGATGATCCTTCTAATCTATTCTACTTCGAATTTGGGCCTAGTGATAGGCGCTCAAGTCGTTCAAATAGTTACGAACTTCGCCGCGCAGTTTGCCGCGCGCCTCCTCGGACGTACGTTCGTACACATACCCAAAATTTTGCACGTAGGATAGAGTGCATTGCGTGCATTTGCAGCAAGAGTTTGATTATTCGTCGCCTAAATGAATTTTGAACAGTTTTTTAAAATGCTGTTTTTCGTTACGTGTTTGTTGCTTGCTTCCTTTCCTCCCTCTTCTCCTTCCCCTCCCCCTCTCGTTCCTCTTCCCTACGCGTATTAACTTTACATTCCCCTCACTGCAGTCTGCTCTTTCTTACCATAGAGACTTCGAGATCCTGGTAGCTGCAATTGGTAGTGCGTTTTTACAGCATACTGTACTGTACAGTCGGCGAAAACTTAAGAATTCCTTGTTTTTGGTATTGACATCCCTCCAACTCTGATGTAGTGATCTCAGTGTTGTCTTACACTCTTTTCTCCTCCTGCTAATGAGAATTGAATTCGAGTCGAAGCACGAATTACTGGATGTTATTTAACACAGCCTAATGATTACCGTCGTTTCCGTTCCTCCTACTACTTAGGAGTACACCTAGAAAGATTAGCGGACGGGTTTTCGGTTGCATTTTTGTCGAAACTTTTATCGTTGTTTCACATCATGTGTCTACGCACATGCATGGAACAAATGAAAGAAACTAATCTGATACTTTGCGTCGCCATTGCTGTTTTGTAACTAGGACTAGCCTAGCAAGACACGGGTTTTTTGTCCATAAGGCGGTCTCCATTTCCAAACATCAACCGTGCGTTTATAAATGGTTGTCTTCGTAGTGTGTTCGATCACGTCCAGTTGTGGATGACATGAGGTACGACTTAGGTCAAAGGCTTGAGTGAAGGGATTTTGCCTATTAAACTGCAAAAGTTTTGCGAAACTTGTTGTTCTGCCTATCACAGAGCGAATTCTGGATAGGGAAACCATTGGCAATGCAAAATCATCTCTCCAACTCCTCTTTAGTTCTTGGAAGAGAGCGAAAAACGAAATGTTCGGGAAGGCATCATGGACCGCAATGTAAATTCGTAGCTGTGAGCAAGGAATGGCGGGTAGAGGTTCCTCAATCATTCAGTTCGCATCATTCGTAGTCAGGGTGGAGGTGGTTCAGTGGTACGTGGCGCGCACTCTCGCGCACATGGTTCGTGGATCAAATCTCGAAGCGAAGAATCGCCTAGATCAATCAAGCCTTCTACCCCTGTGGGTCAGTTAATTGGCACCAGTTCCATTTGGGAAGGTAGAAGCTCTGACTTGTTCTTAGCTGAACACCACACATTTCTCCATGGAAGTCAAATGCGGTGCGCATGCCAAAAACAATTGGTTACCACTGATAAAACCGTTCTTTTAACCTTTATGCCCTACCCTCACGCTCCGACACGCAATGAATGGGGCTCATCGTTCGTTGTTGCCCACCTTATTGAAAATCAGAAGAATCGTAATTCCTAGGGTAGCGACCTGGCATGGGTTTTGTAATCGAACGACATGTCCCGCTTGCAGCTCCCGCCGCTTGTCGGAGTGCGCAGTTTAAGGGCAAGATCTGTATCCCCAGCTTCGTAATTATGGTGATTGAAGCGATTAGCATGCTTAGCTATGACCGTAGGAATTCTTTACAAGGTCGGTCAACCAGGCTTACAGAGGTCAACATCACGCCTATCACCGCCAACATTCAAAATTCCGCTAATATTTATCTTTGGGACCCTCTTACATTACTTCCCTGCTTTGCTCTTTTTTGCCCACAACTCATGCCTGTGCACCATTTATTTCAATCCAACGAAATAATCGGATATTGGAACATGGAAGCTGAAAAGGAAGAAGCATTCTATGAGAAGCAATTCCTACTCAATGCAAGCAAGCAAATCGTTACTAACAATAGCCATCAAGGGTTTTAAGCGGTTATGGTTGCAAATACCTACGGTACAAATGTGAGATTCAGGGAGTGGAAAGTGATTGTAGCTGTTTTAAGGTCATCCTCATGTTACTCCGGAAGGGATTTGTGAGAATTAGATGGGTCATTTGTCGAGACCTAGCGCTGTTTCCTTTCTTGACCTCTTCTGATTTGCAAGTATTTTTGAAAAATGTTTCCCTCTTTATCGGCGTTTAAGTCGGTGGCTGATTCCACTGAAAAGCATTGCACTTTTAGGTCTCGTTCAGCTCTAAAGCTAGACTCTTTTTCAGTTGTGGAAGCCGTGCTCCCACGCTCATAGATGGAAGTAGTGGTGGCTGTTGCGGCGTGCACCATCGTTCCATTTATCTACTTTTCTATACGGTAAATGTAGCTTCTCAAATTTACTTTTCCAACTTTTTTTCCTATGAGTTTAATGTGTGCTTGATGGCGAGATTAATAGTGGCTAGCAGCATAGTGATCCACCATCCTGTGACAATACTATATCCCCTGGTTCGTTTTTTCAATGCATGTTAACTTCCGTACTTTTGGGTTAAGTCCTGGTTCTCTCCTCTCTTGCCTCTTCTAGCAGCGATCATCTTCCAATGTGAATTTCTTGTTTGTTGCTTCGTGTTTTCTGGCTATGGTTGGTTTTTTTTATGGAAAAGCAGATCTCCATAATACTAGTAGGTATTCAAGGTATCTTTATTTCTGCAAGCGAAGCAAACAATGCGGATTCTTGAAGTTCACGGCCCTTTGGACAAGATGTTGAATAATTGCCAGATATAATAGATGTATATGCCACCACCAGCCCATCAACTATCCAATGTTCCCTCCAGTCAACCCCTCGCGGCTGTCTGTTGGAAGCTTTCCACACGGGTGTCGGGTGGTAGGCCTTTGTTTCCGTGTCGGATTGGCTGAATACTTGTTATTCAAACACTTACTGTCATCGCTTCTGGAGATGGAACATCGTCGCTTTGGTTCACGATAGCAAAGACGTTCAATGATCCGTCCCATAGAGGAGCCATGTAGTTAAAAGCAATGGAAAAACGTTCAAGGGATGAGAGTATTTCGTTACAAGGTTGTTGAGAGCAGAGCAATCTATCAGTTTAAACTTCTAATTAACAACAATACGTATAAAATTGCTTGAAGTCGTTCAAAAAATACTGTCGATTTGTTTAAGGAAACGCTTGCCTGTGAAGGTGAATTGCTGGTTTTGTCAGCAAGACCAGCGAGTTCCGTATGAACAGAGGAATTCGTTCATCTGTTTGAGTTGTGAGCAGTACAATGGATTTGATGAGTCTGGAGGATACAATCGCAAAATACCAGGCCAGCATTGCTTCGGCGTTACAGCACCACCGAAAAGGTAAGTGTTAGTCTGCTTGTGTTTTGAGTGAAATCTTCATCTACAACTAACTGGCTCTCACAAGTAGTATAGAGGATGGGAGAGGGTTGGAATGTCAACGTCAGGATGCTAGGATCAATTCAAGTCACTCGTTCAATTTCTTTTTTAATCAGTGTATACTTAAGTCCTTTTAAGATAGACACTATTCGACTTTTCTTTATAAAAATAACCTTATCTGTTAAGATGGTAGAACCGAATACAGGGGAACATAGTCATGAGATTTTTCTAAAGTGGGAAAGCATCCAACGAAAAGCAAGCAAGACATTAGAAGTAGAGCAGCATTGAGGAGAGTTTAGGAAAGAAAGAACTATGTCGCGAATTTTTGCAACTGCAGGTTCTGTACCCCGATGAAAAATATTCATGCACGACCAGATGTTGTCCCCCGAGAGGGATACTCGAGCAATGGCTTGTGTGAAAAATGCAATCGCTCGCAGGAAATAATAATGCGAAAGGTCGCGGACTTCGAGCCACTAAATGAGGTTATTTCTCGTTTCTCCTTTGACTTCAGTGCCCTAATGAAGTTCGTATGCGCTGCTATTCCTTAAGTTTCTTCCCTTTTTAAGGATCGCTGGAGCGAGGAATTAGAAATGTATCGTTATAAGCTTAACAAAGTTTACCCATTGTGTGCTAGATGTACGTTCTTCACGCAAAATCGGATGCAAGAAGAGAAGGTATTTTCGTCGCTGTCAATTCACGTGTCGTATTGCTTTCACAACGAATTTTTCCGGTGAAATATGCTAATCTTATCGCGCTCAAAAACTCGATAGTGAATGGCATTAGCTCAGTTACAGGACTGGCTAAGAAGGTAATGTAACTCCTACTTGGTTTGTCAAGTTCTTTGGTGAACGTTTCTGAACTCTTGCATTTTTTTTTCTTTTAATTAGAATAGTCGTATTTAACGCCAATGATTTCCAGGCTGTGCGACGGCGACGTCATTTCTTTGCTGGTGGTCTCATGGTTGAAGTGTTGCATGCGCTGTCACTTGTGCTGGCTTTGTTATTGTTCATTTCTCAGTTCAATTACCTCCAAGAGGTTAGATCTCCTCTGATTTCCTGTTTGGTGCAGTCAAATTTCATGCATGTATTCCTAACTGTTGCCGCTCAAACTTTATATCTGATGCAAAACTACCACAAATTTTCGCTTATTCATATTTTAATCTCTGCTGCCCTCCAGTTTATCCTCTCTTTAACTCTTGTTTCAGGATGCTGGACTTGAGCTTTTTTGGCTCCCTATGTTTCTTCAGAAAGCGCTTCCAACTGTGCTGGCTGTTGCTTATCATCTCGTTGGAGTTCTTTTCTGTGCACACATGATAACGATTTGGACGAATAGGTACTTTTTCGAAATTCTTTCGGATATTTATTGGAATTTCGTTTGCAACGACTATTGCAGATGTCGCATTACATTGCCGGACCTCATGCTGCCAGTTATTGCTGCCTTACATCTGGCATCTTTCCTATTTCCTGACAAGGTAGTTTGGTAGTTGTATAGTGTTGTGGTTGTTCTCAAAAACAATAAGATTTGGTTCTCCTTCATATTAAAGCTCTTAAAAGTGGTCTTGGCTTCCACAGTGAATTATCTTCCTCAGCGTCTTCCCATAAGTCCTTGTAGATCTTTGGGGAATTGCAATTGGATTTTTTTTTAATGGCTGCGATGTGGACTTCCAAAAAAGTTCTTCCTTCACGTGTCCTAATGTCTATTTATTAAAATTTAAGTCACGCACAGAATTCGAAGGTTAATCTGTGTCTATATGGAACCATTCTTGAAAACAAGACTCTGTAGGACGTTTTAAAATGCTTCCTCCTACTTACCACTTACACAGCGTTCCACTTCAACTGTTTATTTCCAGGCGTATCGTGAAGATTTGGCGTTGTTTCGATGTGCTTTTGCTTGCTTTGAAACTTTGTTGGCAACTGCAATTACATTCGTGCCACGTAAAAAGATCCCGCGGACTAGGCCTAACAAAAAATTTTCGAGGTAGAGTGTTGAGCCTTGTACTTTGTTTCGGTTGATTGTTTACTTAGTCGAGATGATTCGTTTTTTGTTGACATATGTGAGATCAGCTGACCGGTATATATGTTAGGCTAGTGAATGTTGATAAACTATGACTGAAGTGCCATAGAGAAGCCATGGGAGTCCTCTGTAGTGTAAAGGATAAACAGCGCGGCGAAAGGAAAGCTCAAGCTCGAGTCTGACAAGAAGATTTGTCCGTAGCTCAGCAAACTCGAGTAGATAGAGTTTGGTTTTCATGAAATCGGGCCTATTCACATAGCTTAGAACTTGCTTTCCATTGAAAACATACGGTTTAGTGTATTCTCCGTTGTTTCTACGCCATCATCGCAATGTTCTTCTCAAGCGGCGAGTCGCGATAATTCTCTGGTGCATGGTAAGGACGAGCACACTGTAACTGATGTCAAGAGAGCTGGTTCATCTCCGAAGAGTACAGCTGTGCGACAGCGCCTGAAATGGCGCGAGCGTCAGCAAACGCCGGAGCCGGCAACTGCAAGCCCAGCTAAGAAGACTGGATATGAATATGAGGTTGATAGCTTTTTAACTTCAGTTGGAGTAGCGGTTCCGATTATTTTGAACACTTTTTCAGATATTCATTTTCTGATTTTTCAATTTTCCCTTTCAAAATTATTTTCAGGACATGGACTGGGAACCGTCTCTAGATCGAGAAATCACTTATTCACGCGATGTGCGTCCGTCAGCGATGATGGCCCGGATGATACGGGAGTCTACTCCGAGTCGAGAGCTCGCACCTTCTTTATCATCTCTGTCGTTGCTCAGTAGCGCACAACAATCCCGTTCCAGCGTTTTTGTAGGGCCCACAGGGAATAAAGCTCGTCTGGCCGCTTCAGAAATCGGTAAAAATCGACAACGAGCACCTTCCATGGTCCATTCACAGTTTTCGGTATGTTTTCAAGCTTTTCTTATGTGGTGACTTGAGTTATTTGTAAAATGCGCGAATACAAGTGATGTAGTGTTTCGATTATTTCATGTCAAGAGTGAATTGACAGAATCTAGTCTTACAAGGATCAAGACAGTCTACTTTTTGTTTACTGATAGCCTCATATGACGAGATTTTTCATTATGTTCTGTCACAAGGAGAGCACTGCATTAACAGTTCCTCTTAGACCAACACTTCACCGAGACTTCCTTCGATTCGTTCTCTCCGCCGCGATGTATCGCCTTCACGCTCCGTTTTCACTTCCGTATCGCAGCGACAAGAAGAATATCCAAATCGCTGGGTAACGCCTCTATTGGTGTTTTTTGCTGTAGCAAGTCTTATTGCAAATATTGTGTTGTTTTACATGGTGTTCAAAAAATAGATATGCTTTTCTTTTCTGCAGCGAGTAAAAGTGGAAAGGGTAATTCGAGTAAGTTGTTAATTAGTTTTTTTTAATACACTATGTTACTATTAATAGGTCGACTATCACATCGAATTTTGTTGTTTCTTTGTGTATTCATCTCATGAACATTGATCTGTGAATTGTTACGTCTAGCATTCCCAGAATTCAATACAATTTATTTCTGCCGGTACCCGGAACTCAATTTAAGGCTCATTTTTGTTTCCGCTCTTTCCTGACATTACTGATTGTTGATCTCTTACAGTATTTTTGTTTCTGTTTTCGGCTGTTTTATTCATGGCTGTTGGTTTCATATGTATGTTTCCTTTCCTGTAAGAGATAATTGATTTCCTGGTGAGAAACTGTGTCATTTATATTTGTTTCCGGCGAAGAAATGAAAGTGATACCACCATTGGTGTACATCGTAATATTCACTTTCGAGATCGTTTACAATTTAGTAGAACTTGTTTAATTTACCATAATTGGTAGCGGAGTCATTTCCATGGTATTCATAATTGTGCAGGAGGCAAATAAGTGCGCAGGATGAACTTTTACTTTTATGTCTTACCGCTTCGTTCTCGGTAAGACATAAAGGCAACCTGTACTGTCGTGTTCAGTGGGTCTTGTGATAGAGTGGTTATAATGAATTGATATTACCGAACTGCTTCCAGAACCCTGTTTGCTCGCATGACTGCTCTCCTTGATTCCCTTAAAAATGACTCTCGTGAAGAGATTAGATGTACATAGATTGTAGACAAAGGGCAGATCAAGCATTGCCGTCTAAATCTTTCTTTTTTTTGCTGCAACTAGTCTTTCTTCTTCTTTCGTTCTTCAGCGAAATGGGTACCTTGCATTACGACAAGACAGAGCGAAATTCCGAGCTGGGATTTCGACTGTATTGAAGACGGCTTTTCAGATATTTCGAACGAGTTCTCTCTGTACCTGGGCGCCGAACAATTCTTCATCGACCGTTGGCGTGTCGAATTCCGGAAGGGAAGCTGCAGTAAAGGCGTATCCGAAGACCGAAG